AGAATTCCCTGCCTGTGTCTGGGGGAAAACCTATCCCTGTTGGAGAAAGGTGTGGTGGGCATCAGAGCTGATGGGCTCCTGATCTGACACTTGAGGCAGCATGAAAACAAGGAAGAGTGGCATGAGTGATGCTGGGAAAGCAGAACAAGAAAGGTCACTGCTCTGTCTTGAGACTGACTGACTGGAGAGTAACAGAGCACAGCTAGTTCAGTGGCTTTTGAGACTGAAAGGCAGTATTGGTCTGGGATATATCTTCTACATCCTGTTCAATGTCATTCAGCAAGAGGTATGTAGCAGCTGATGCTGACTTTGAAGATGTACAGTTTTGAATCTCTCACACCTTGAATTGCCTGCAGGCTTGTGAGCCTTCCTTTGCTCCTAAGGCAGCAGGTCAGGTGGTAAAATACTGCCAGGAGATGACAACAATGTTAATTCATTATTACCATTAGATAAGGAAAAATTCACTTCAGTGGTTCTCTCAAAAGCTAATGCAAATTTGGGGTACTTGCATTGGTCAGAGAAAGAACTGATGTGCCCATTCTTTTTGGGAGATGAGACACCTCACAGCCAGGAGTGTTTGCAGGTTGAAGGCTGCCAGACTGTGTCATCACTTCATGAACAAACCATCACACACTTGGCTGAAACTAATCAGACTGCTACCCATGTCCTCTGGTTGTCCACAATTCCTATTTGTAATTTTTTAAGTGTCACCATATCAGCAGCCTGCAGTCTGTTGATCCTTCCTTGAAATGCTGACATTGATTAGACATTCTTCAGAAAACATCACACCAGTAACATCAATAAGCTTCCTCCAATCTCTGTCTTGCATAAGGCTGCCCCTTCCAGAGGAGCTGCTACCCTGAGAGGGTTGTGCTGGCCCCAGCTGTGGACAGAGGATCCCAGGTCACTTCAATCCCCCTCAGAGAGGCAGACTCCAGGTGTACCCCTCACTCTCTCCCCAGGGGGGAAGCTGCTTGTGCTTAGCTCCACAGCAGGGTCCAGCTGAGTATCTGGCCTGCCCATCTCCTAAGGAGTCTAGGGATGATCACCTGGGGAAGGAGATTTTCCACAAGGCTTTGCTTTGCCTTTGTTCTAGGCTGACAAATGTGGATTTTAATGTCTAGGTGCAGCCAGGATTGTTGAAACAACATGTTCAACAGCTGCTGGAAGGTACACTGGAGCATATTAGTTGAGCAGCGTCACCTGCAGAGCATTGGGCTGTGCTAGCAGGTGAAACCCACCTCCTCTATAATTTCCTTGCCTTCCCAGTAGTCAGCTTTCTCTTGTGGAAGGTTGTTTTTTCTGCCCCATGGGCCTTTGTGCTTTCCTGCTTAAAGACTCCTGCATGACCCAGTGCCTGCTGCTGCCTCTGACAAGGTAGAGTGTTTTATGATTTCTTTTCTGTTTACATTTTTACAATATAAAACTCAACATAGGAGCTGTTGTTTTTAGTTCTGGATGGCTTCAGTTTGGTGCTTGGTACCATTTAAGGTTTTAGTAACTTGGGTTACTAAAAACTGGTGGTTTTGCTGCTAGACCTGAGGTTTAACATGTGCAAGGTGTGGCACACCTACCACAGATGTACCCCTGGGGAGCCCCAGGTGTGTGTGTGTGGAGAAGCAACCTGTGGGGATATATGGGCTCAATGGCTCCTTTGTCTCTGCTCCTGCAGCTCAGCCAGAGCCTATAGCTCTGTGGACTGGGACACTCTGCTTGGAGAAGGCGGATGCAGGGGATAAATGGTGTTTTTCAGTCCATTTCTCAGGCGTGCTGTAAATGCGTCTAGACAGGCAGTACTTGGATGGTTGCCTTGTACCTTGCAGGGGGGGCTGCTCTTCCCGGTGGATTTTGCCAGATCTCCTTCATCTCCAAAGGGTCTTAACTCTCCTTAGCTACAGTAGAGATGCTTCCTGGCTATTCTGTCTGCTGGCTCGTTTACAAATAGCATCGAGCACAGGGGACCTGAGGTATCCTGTTCCAGCTGTGTGGTGAAGGTGAGCAGACACTGTAGGACCCCTTGCTACACCTGCACATCTGCCCAGCTGTGCCATCAGAGCAGGTCTCCTGACATTGGGAATTATTTACAGCCTGCGGCTGTCTCTGAGTTCCCTCTTCCTCTTTGCAGGGGAGGAGGTTTCTGCATTCCCCAAAGGCTCTTCTAATGCGATTATCATGAATGAAACCCTGGAGAACGCCTGTGGTTCTCCAGCAGAGCGCAGAGTCACGGCTCACCTCTCCTCTTCCAGCCAGTCGTGGAGCCGGGGGAAACAAAACAGCAAAGAGGAAAATGTTGTAGAAAATTAAGGTTAGGAGGAGGCACTGAGGAAGAGGAAAATGCAGATTGTTCTACTGTAAATAAGGAATGGGGATGTGTGAAACACAGATCTTGGGGGGGTCCTCAGCAGTCCCTCTGGCTTGCTGGACAGGGCAAAGGGGCACCAGCTGGTTGCACCTTTGAATGCTTTGATTCCTTGGACTTTTCTGTGGGGTCACCTATAGCAGCACTTGAGGGAGCAGGAGAGATTGTTTTGTTTTGGAGTTGAGTTTTTTTAATTGTATAAAAGGGGGTTGTGGTGCCTTTTTTTTTTTTTTTTTGGTCCATGGCAGGTTATAGTTCAAAAGGTTGCAGTCAGTTTTGTGATCTGAAACTTCAAATTATAATTATTAAAGGAAGGACCATAATGTTTAGATATAGAACTTTCCCCTTCCTTTATAGTTGTGTGGATACAAAAATACTGCTTAGTTTTCTGCCATACCTCCTGTTCTTACCTCTATTTGGAATCACCTTGGGGATCACTGCTTCAAGAACAGGTTCAAATTCAAGTAAAATCAAACTGAACGCAACCCCTGAGGGATGCTAGGCCAGAGCTTGAAATGGACCTACTCATCCTTCAAAAGATCTTTCTTCTCGTTTCCTCCTTTCTGACAACTGTATGTATAAAGCACCTGAAACTGGTCTCTGGTGATCTCTGTCATGAAGCGTCCAAATGAGAATTACTTGAGTGGCAATCTGTCCACGGGTTGATTCATTCAGCTGATACTTCCAACATCCTGTGTGCTGAGCGCCTCCCGTGCTGACCGGCGTCTTTGAGCAGATGGAGTAGCACTACTGCATGCCTGCCTGGCATAGCTGGCAAACTAACTGAACTTATTTTCAGAATTCATCTGCTGGAAGTGCTTACAGCAGCCCTCAATTTCTTTCCTAGTCGCAAGTAATGCGCAAGTAATAATAAAGACCTCTCGTGGGTGTCCAGGTGGATGATAATTTTTTACAAGGAAAGTGTTATGAGGGCTACAGGTGAGAAAAGGCTTATGGAAGGGGGTATGTTCACCACAAAGGTACCAACACTTCCAATAACACTTGTGTTTTATTGGATTAACGCAGTTACAGTGCAGTATGGAGGGCACCTCCCCACACAAATGACACATGCTGTCCACAAGATCCTCCTCCCAAAAGCCAGACAAACCAAAGGAACAGCTAGAGCTCTGCTATGTGCTCCAGAGGCAGAGGACAATGGCTTTGGCTCTATATTAGGAAATAGAGGAAGCCCTTCCCAGATGGAGAAACTGTGGCATTGACACAGGCAGGGACAGCACAGAGTTGTGCCCAAAGCTGTCAAAGGAGCATGGCTAACAGCACAGCTAAGCCTAGTGTTGGGAGTGCGAGCTGAAGCCTTGATCCAGTAGAGCAAGGGGGGAAAATGAGAGAAGTGTGTTGAGGCTGTCTGTCTCACATCAGGTTTGCCTATACAGGGAGAAGAGCATTAAAGTGCCCTGACATGAGACCAGCTTACATGGTATGTCAGGGCTTGTCTGGTGTTTTCATCCAGGAACTACTGGAGATGGCTTTGTAAAATGCTGTTCAGAAAGGAGACCATGGCAGGGCTGTATTTGTCCAGCTCCTGGATGCTGGCATATACAGATGCCGTATGTGATGACAAGAACATTAGCAAGGGGAGCCAGGGAGAGTCCTCGGGCTGATCCTGAGGCACATGTCCTTTCTTACTGGGAGGGATGTTATGATACAGCTCTCCCCTAGGTGTGGGCTGTAATCAGATTTATTTCAGCAGTCAGGTGCTACAAACCCTTAATCTAGCAATGCTCCTGTTGAGGAGAGGAGCACAAGTGAAGATTGGTTCCAAAGAGACCATGAACAAGTTTTGAGATGAGGTGCATGCAACCCATCCCAGCTGAAAAAACAGGTTTGAATCTACTGCAGGCATGACTGGAGCTATGACAGGCCTTGTTCACTTAGTGGCTCAGTAGATCACTGGGGTGTGTGGTAGTTAAGTAGCAGCCAATCTATCTGGTCTTTGGGTCAGGTAGACAGAGGACAGTGGGATAATGTTGTACTTCTCAGACCATCTGACCTACCAGTGGGATGGCAGCCACCTCTCCATCTTGCAAGGAGCAATAAAATACAAGCTGGCAGCACAAGGGAAGATTTCATTTGCAAATAGGTCGATTTTCTCAAGCACTTTGACCCAGTTTTACATGCAAACCTTTTGACTGAAACAACAGGAAAGTTGTCAATTCTCCATTGATGCTCCTTTTCCAAATTTCCTTGTCCAGATTTTGCTCTTGGCTCCTGATCAAAGGGATCAGGATCCTTATCAAAGAGGTCATGTTCTGCTCTCTTACTAGGACTGCTAGGCATGAGCTGGGTGCCTTTTGCAGGTTGAGGCTCCAGCTGTGGGAGGACAAATGTGTATTTAGCATGTAGGCAACAGAGATGAGAGATGCCATCTGCATTTGGGTCCTGCATACTCTGGCAGCTCCCAGGAGCAGTGCACTGTTGTGGCTGATCTACTGCTGCACACCCAGGTCTGCCTTTCAGCACCACTGTCCCTGCTGAGGGACTCACTGGCTTACTACTTTTTCTTATTCCCCTTCCTCCCTCCCCAGAAATGGGAAGAACTTGTACTCTCTTAAGCAGGAGTGCCGAGGTTGGTGTGGGAATCCAGCCGTGCAGGTGGGGCATATTCCTGCTCTTCACTCTGGTGCAGAAGGTGCCTGGATGTCAAAAATGACCATGTCACACTGTTCACCACTGCTCACAGCCGAGGGGAGCACATCCCTTTCCACTGTGTGTAAAGCAGAGGGAGGGAAGGGCCCTGTGCCTTGTCCTTGGCCCAGGAGTCTGCTCCAAACCCGTGCAGCCCGGTGCCGGCCCTGCAGTCAGCAGCACAGGATCTTGAGGAAGGCTTTGCGGAAGTCAGTGTTGAAGGTTGTGTAGATGATGGGGTTGAGGGCACTGTTGACGTAGCCAAGCCAAGTGCTGGCACTGTAAAGCCTCGGAGGCACATGGCAGGATGGGCAGTGGGCATTGAGGATGTGAATCAAGAAGAAGGGCAGCCAGCAAACTATGAATGTGCCTGGGTTTAGAGAGAGGAAGAAAACAATCATGAGTTCAGGGGAGTAACTACTTGGAAAAGGGCCTGCACTTGTGCCCTCTCCCTCCATCACCTTACTATTTCCATGCATGTGTCTGTATTTCACAAACACTGAAGGCAACATTTATTCCTGCCACAGAGGGACTTGGCAAAAGCTTGGGCTCTTGGGACCAGCTTTGTGAGTGGATGGATGGGGCTTCAGAAGTGGCCTGGTGAGAGACAAAAGCAAGTGGCCACCACTTTGAGGAAAAGACTGATGCCTCAGCTGCTTTAATCAGTTACAATTAGGGCTGAGTTATTTCCCTGCTACTACTGAGTTAATGAGGGGAAACAGTGAGTCTGGTGACCACAGCAGGTGACTGGGGCACCAGTCTGCTGGCTTCTCTGTCCAGCTGTATAATCTGGTTCCTCTGCAGCTCCTTGCCTCAGTTTCCACTCCTGGAACTGAGCCCAAGAGCTTCTGCATGTATGGAAACTTAGGATTGTTCCAGCTTCATAACTGCAAAATAAAGGAAAAGGAAAAGCAAAAGCAAAGGTCTTGGCTGTTGCTCCCTCTAGCAGAGCTTGTTGGCCACTGATTTAAAACACAAGGCTAACAAAACATGGCAAATAATACACTAACATACTTGGCTTTCAACATCTGGAAGCAGTGCTCTAGATCCCTAGATGTCCCACCACTCTCTCTCCTGAGTTTGTGGAGCAGTGACAGCTGAAGCCCGGGCCTGGCTTGCATTTTTTTAAATCTCAGTACTATATTAGGAGCTTCTGTGCTCCAGGAAGTCCCAAGCCATCACCCTTTGCATGCCACTAGGCAGAGTGGCTCTCACTCACCCAGGACAATCGCTAGCATCTGTGTAGCCTTTCTCTCCCGGAGCTGGATCAGTCGAGGCTGCTGCTGTGCCAGCTTCAAAGAGCTGATGGTTTTGCCATTGCTGAGCCTCTGTACCTCCACTACTGGTTTTGTACACATTCTCCTCTCTTCCTGCCTGCTGTTTTGTGTAGTTCCTGGAGTCTTGGTGAGGGATGCCTCATGGCAGAAGCTCCGGTACCGCTGCAGGCTGAAGACAGTCAGCAACTTCCTTTTGGTAGACATCTCCTGCCCTGTGCATTTGAGTGGGAGACAGGGGGGAAAGGTGCCTTGGCATCCATTTGGCAAAGCTTTTCTCTCCATGTGTTCCTGCAAAAGAGGATGCCACAGAGGAACTGGAAACCATCCAAACTGTTCAATGGGACAAAGGATGATGAAGGAAGTTGTAAGAGTCATCCTTAGCCCCACTTGTCTCTTAGGTTTGCACTATATCCTCTGGACTGACCTGAGGGGTGAACCAGCACTGCTTCCATCCCACCAAGGAGAAACATAAAAGCAATAAGAGCAGAAACACCTGCTTGCTGACCTTTCATCTGTATTTTTGTGTTGGCCCTGCTCCCCTCAATATCCCCACCCTTTTAATGTAGCTCCACTGTGCGAAAATGGGTAAAAGGAGTGGATATGTGTGACCAGCAATTCCTTTCAAACTGTTGTGCTGGTTCCCATGGTTGCAGATATTTCATCTAGAAAGGTCAGTGGAACAAATGCTCCATGCACCGTGAGCATCTTGACCTCTTAGGTCTGTCAGATGAAGAGGGTTTTCTGTTTTAATAATGTAGGTTAAAGCCTGTGAAGTCCTGAAAATGAAGCTTCATAGAGCAAAAATCAATAAGTGAAGACATTAAAATCAATAAATGAAGAAATTAGCCAGACTTATGCATGGCTGAGAAAGCCCTGCTCTGAAGAAATATTGAAGTAGGCTATGCTCTTTTCTAGTTGCCAGTTCTAGAGGGCAGACACACAAGTAGTATCCTCTTTCTAGAGGGCTGAAATGGATTTAACTGCAGCTTCTGCATCTCAAATATCATGGTGTATGAGCAAGGGATGGGATGAAAACATGTCATGCCCTTATGCTTTCTGTTCTGTGTTTTGACCCTTTGAGGAGAAGAGATGGTGCATTCCCTGTCTTTTTTGACAGCTCCTACTGCGTTCATGTGGATCTTACTTTGTGCGCATGGCACGGTTTGGTGCTGGCGCTGTGGCTGCCCTGCCGGGTGAGGGTTCTCTTCTTTTGCCTTTGTCTTAGCACGAGATAAATCCGGACATAGAGCAGCAGAGTCACCATGAAGGGGAGGTAGAAGGACACCAAAGAGGAGTAGACGATGAAACTAGGGTTGGATATGGAGCAGACACTAGGATCCCCTGGGGAGGAGAAGAGAGAAAGAGAGGAGTGGCTGAGCTGCTTCACTTTAGTACAAGGAAGCTCTGATGGGTTGGCAAAGTGAGTCAAAAGGTGGGACAAAGGCAGTTTAAGGACTGCAGATTATGCTGTGGCTTACCCACTCACCTAACTGATACTTAAAATTAACTGTACATAGGGCCATCTAGCATTATTAGCCAGTATGCATCTGCCTGCTTTTCTGGCCAACAGCTCTGTTATCTTTTCTCATGCCTATTCCCATCCTTTCTCCTAGGATCCTATCTCCTTTTATCTTTTCTCCTATTTCTTTGACAGCCTCTGAGCTGTTTAGAAGCAGAGATGTGCCTTCACCCCCACCTGTCTGGACTAGCAGCATTTCCCACTCTCATCCCCTTCTTGCCTCAAGCACTGCAGAGAGGACTTCTGCCCATGGCTCAGTGGGAAGGAAGGTTCTGCTGCTCCTCTGCCTCTAGGGAGAACAGGTTCTAGCCCTGTCTGAGGGAAAGGAAAAAGACCAACCTGTTTCCAAGGTGGAGGCTAAATTGTTTGCTCTCCTCAAGTGATTAATTGAGGAAGCAGACAGCCAGTTGGATGGGAAGGTTTCTCACAAGCAGTGCTAATATGCAACCCTTGCTGTTTAGAGATGTGTCCTGTATCAAATTGTGTGTCTGGACCTGTTGATATCGGCAAGGTGTGTGTTGTATGTGCTGCACGTTTGGAGATTTGCTCTGTGTGCTCAAAGTGATTGTTTAATGGGAATCTGTAGACCTGGACACCTTGATGGGCATTGATTTGGCAGTAGAGCAGGTAGGTCTGCCCTCAGAGCAATAGTCAGTGTCTGTCTGAGCAAACGGCAAATTTATGGACAAGAGCACATGGAGATTTTTCTCACCCTTCATAGTGTGTTTACAGTTCCTTAAAATTTCCTGTAACTTGGCAAGTCTGCAGGACCCCCATTATATGACCTGGCCATACACAGTTTCCAACCCCCCCCGCATGCTGTTGTCCAGGACATCACCTACCTGTAGTATTGAAGCCAAAGAGGAGAGGACATGACACTGCAAACGCCAGCATCCAGACTACCACGATCATGAGAGACACCCTCCTGCAGGAGCTCTGCCCAGTGCTGTACTGGTATTGAACTGGTTTCACCACTGCGGTGTATCTGCAGACCAAACCAGCTCCAGGAAGAGGAGGGGTAAGAATGGAGGGTGGAAAAGGACCAGGTTTTTATGAGGAGAAATGAAAGCAACACAGGGAACATGACGGTGAAAGTGGTGAAGAAAAGGAAGAGGAAAGAACAGAAGATCAGGTGATGGAATCAGCAATTTGCAGAAATGGTAAGTGGGGCATTGCAGGGAGGAATAGAGGAAATCCGAGTTAGTTGGCAGCACTGCAGAAAAACTCTCTGCAGAACTGACAGCATGTGAAGCTACAAGGTTTGGGATACCAGATGGATCTAGAAACCCCAAGAAACCCACAACCCTCAAGCCCCTAAAGTTATACATGCACTGCTGGGAAAGAACACTCTCTGGAGAAACCACAATCTACTAAACTCTTTGTCTCAGCTGCCTTGTCTGGTGTCAGCCTGACTGATAGACAGTGGATTGCACACAGGCAGGTGTCCAGGACCTTCAGCTGCTAGGGTGCCCCAGGGGGTGCAGCTCAGCAAGGCTAGAATTTGGAAGGCCTAGGAGTCTCGCTTTTAGGATAGCCTAGGGGCTGCTCCTTGCAAACAGAGCCAAAATGAAATGGTGATAAAGATGCCCATGAAAGAACACTGGACCAACCCAGCACTGAGAGCTGCCTTGCATTATTACCCTTGAACCACATATTACAAAGGTACAGCATGCAGTATTTTTTCCTTCTCCCACTCCTTGGTCCTAACAGCACCACGTGTGCCAAGGTCTTGGCTCCCAACCCTCAGCATTGCTTAAAATAGGCTCAGTTTTAATATGCAGAAAACAAGAGCAAAGCTGAAGATTACAGAGCAATAATCTTCACCTCTCCCTGTGTGTATGGCAGGATTTTCTTTATTAAAACTTCATGAGTGAGATCTCCAGAAGGAGAAACCCTCTTTGAGACTGAATGGGAATTGGATGTTCCTGCCTTCAAAAAGCATAAGGACGTGGTTGACTGCCTACTGGGGATGTCTTGTTGCTTGTGTCTCTCTGCCCTCCAGTGCAGGCCTGTTCTAGCTCATGGTGGGCAGACCCACATTATTAGCAGTAGTGGCAGGAACAGACTTGAAGGGAGGTTTGTGGTCCTGAAGACACCACTGCTGTCTGTGCACACCCCAATTCCTTGTCCTTGCCACACTGGGGTACAGGGTCGACCCCCATATCCAGACTATCCCCCTGGGTGTTGTTGTCTCTCACCTGTCGATGCTGATAGCACAGAGGTTTAAAATGCTGGCTGTGCACATCATTACATCCATGGTGACGAAGATATCACAACAGATACGGCTGAATGTCCAGACTCCTCCGGTCACCTGCACCAGCAATCACAAAACTGTCAGCCTTGTTCTGCACCAAGTCCTGATAAGTTACCTGGAGGAGAGCACCTCCTTACATGTATCCCAACAGCTAGATAAATTCATGTCCACAGTGATGTGCAGAAGGAAACCGAGACACCCATGTTGTGTTCAATATAACACAGCAGTAGGTCATGGAAAATAAGCCTCACCTTAATTTCACTCCTTTATTTGCTCTTGCAGAGGGTGGCAGGATGAAAAAACAGGAGCTATTCCTTCCCTCAAGGCCCAGCATAATAAATTGATTTAAATTTGATATCACTGCATATATCCCTTGATTAAGGATTATCTGAGAAAATCTAAGGGCTGAAAGTGTCTCTCAGCTGATGGAGTGCTTTCGCAGGCAGTGAGCTGGAAAAGCACTGCAAATTTTATGCATTTATGTATGAAACAGGGACCTGAGACCGAGGCTTCTCTAAAACCTTATTTGGATTCTTATCTCAGTTAAATTTTGATTATTAGATCTGAGTGAGAACTCATAGGCTATTCAGATAAAGGGTCTTGGGTTTGCTACCATGTTGAGCTGTTGTTCTCATTGTTTTGAATTTTTAATCGGAACTGTGAAAGTTGTGAAAACTCAGCTGCAGCCAATCTTTGTGATGGAGAAAAGTGTGTTTTGGACCAGCCATCAAATTCTTGACATTACATTTTTGGTTGAAAATTATATCCTCCAAGTGCCCTGTGGCCCTGTTCTCCTTGGGGCTGGGATGACAGCCTGACTGAGCAAGGTGGTCTGTCTCAGCACCCACTCCTTGTAGGAGATGAACAAGGAGCAGCCTGGCCTCCACCTGCAAACAAACCCTGCACTGTGCTGAGTGGGGAAGGGGGTAGGAGAGAAAGAGGGAGAAAAATCCATGCTCAGGAGAGAGCCTGGATTTTAGCCTGCAACCTCATAGATTCTGCTGTTTCAGCTGGATCCTGGGAAGCTACCAGAAACTGGTACTAGTTCCTAGTACCAGCGCTTACATTTAGACAACATTTGGAATACTGCATCTGGTTTTGAGGCCCCAGTAGAGGAAAAACATTGATAAACAGGAGTGAGTCCAGTGAAGTCCACCAAAACAGTCCTTAGGGGCTGGAGCAGCACTTGTCCTGTGAGGACTAGCTAAGGGAACAGGACTTTTTCAGCCTGGAAAAGAGATGGCTTGGAGGGGCGGGAGGCTAACAGCCCTCTAGTGCCTAGTGGGAGGTTATTGGGAAAGTTGGAGGCAGGTTACTAAGAAGATGCAGCCAGGTTTTTCACAGCAGTGTGTGATGGGAGGACAAGAGGCAACAGGAATGAGCTGGAAGAAAGGGGCAAACTGGTCATGAAGGTAACTTTGCTGACCACAAGGACAGTGAGACAGTGGAGGCAGTTGCTTAGTAAGTCTGTGTAGGATCCGTTCTTGGAGCATTTTAAGACTCACTCAAAAATACCCATCCCAGATCAGGCTGGAGAGGGTGCCACAAGTAGGCTTGGCTTCTAAGGTACTGGATCAACCCTGCAGCAAGTGTTGATGCCTAGACAGGATGCAGGTCCCTGCAGAGAGAAGGATTTGTATAAATACAGAATTCACTCTGTGAGAGTTGTTTAAGAAATAATCCTGAGAAATTTAAATGGCTTTGATAGTAGCAGCATTCCCACACATGGCACAGAAACTTGCTGGCATGAGCTGTGTCTTTAGGGCGTTCTCTGCTGGACCCAGCTGCTACATTTCAGAAGTCAGGTATTGAACCAGGCAGTCCTCCATTAGACCTTCTGACCCTGAATGAAGGCAGGGAGAGAAATGGGAATTGGCTTGCAGAATGAAGAAAGGAACTGTGCTTTCCTCTCCAGTTCTCTGATACTGGTGGGACTCCTTTGTTTACTTCTAAAACAAAGGTAAGTGAAGGAGAAAAAGCCAAACCAAACCCATTGAGCTTTTCTGCACAGTTAGGTGAGCTACAAGACAGGCAAACTGAAGACTGTCCCTCTGAAATTAGGGATTTTAATAGGTAGGTTCAGCTTCCAAAGAAACCCCCTCATTGGTTTTACTTTCGTTTTACTTTAGTCTCAGTGAGATCTGCTTGACCACCTCAAAATATATATTTAAAAAAATAAATGCAGGAAGCCTTTGCAGTAAGGGATGTTTCTGCAGTCTGAGGCAAAAAGCAATGCAGTTTCTATGGGATCTGCGGAGTCTTAAGAATATTTCACCAAGAGTCAGTGACAGATGTTTGCACCAAAGCCAGCTGCTGCTAGACCAGCAGATGTGCAAACACTTAACTGAGGGAGTTTCCAAGGTCTTGAGCACATTAAAATGCTAAACCCAAGAATGTGAACTATTAAAACTGAAGAAGGTGCTGGTGGGAATGGCTCTGAAGTGAGCCCTCTCAGGATGATGCATTCAGATATCACCATCTGCATACTAGACTAGCTTGTGTTAAGAGGATGCTCAACAGATCAAAATGTTTGGGCTTAAAAGCCATCCTGACTTCCACCAGCCATAGCTTCTAAAATGAGGAGTAGCTCTGCTGAAGTCAGTGAAGTCATTAATATTTACCCATGGGGTATGTGAACCCAGAATTTATTTCAGAATTTAACAATGAAGAAGAGCCTTTATATTATAGGCCTAGCTCATAATTTTTAAAATTCTATTTCTGCTCTTCCTTTTATTGCTCTGTTCCACTCATTTTTGTTACAGCAGCTAGAACTTGCTAGTGTGCATTTCTGGTTTTCATGAGCTAGCAGGGTACCTGTTCTTTATCCCTCTGGTGCCTTTTGTCCAGGAATCTCAAAGGACATCCCAGGTATTAATTGAATGAATCCTCACATCTGCCTGGGTGAGGTGGATAGTCAAATATTATTCTCTTACAGCTGACGAGAGCAAACCCCAGAGAGATGAGCTGATACAATCTCTCATTACCGTTCAGTGACTGTGCAGCAGAAGTGGGAACAGTGTCCAGATGAAATCCTGGCTCTGTCAAATGCTAAAGCTCCATATAGACTATTCAGGTCAGATTCTCACCTCATCTTTCTTGATGACCAGTCTGCTTTATCTACAAAATTGTGGTGTTATTATTTTTACCTTCCCAACTCTATAGGAAGCTTTCCAGTTTATGAATGCACAATGATATTTTTTTAAAAACTTATGCCAATCCATCACTTTCCTGAATTCTTAAAATAAACAAAAGAATCTCTGCAATTCAGATATGAATGATGATGCCACGATGAGGAGCACACGGATGGGAAAGTAGACAACCAAGTTGCATCAAGTGATGACTGGCATGTAAGGAGCAGTGCCTCTAAGCATGCTCACTGAAGGGTTTTGTGTTTAGGAGAGCTTCTTCTTGGGGGTGCTCTTAGCTCCAGCAGCTGTGAAATGGCTGCTCATGGTTTTGCACAGTGGGAGAGATGAAGAGCATGCACGAGGTCAGGACTGCTGACAAGTGGTGAACTGCTGAGCTGCAGTAACTCAGCTGTCTGTCCCCCTGCTGACAATAGTCCAGTCCTTGAGCTCAAAGAGCAGTTGTAGGTCTTCCTGCTCAGGTGTGAGAGACACAGATGAGGAGACTGTTACTCTCACGCTTTGAACAGACTGGATCTCAGTGACAACCATCTTCTGAAACTTTTTTGCCCTTTGGAGGTAGAACTGGATGTTGCGAGAAGGCTAAGAAGGATGTTCCCAGCCATGCTGCTACATGTCCTCCTGCATTTATACAATGACTGTAAGGCATGATGGTGTCTAATGCCATCAAACTTCAGCTGGCAGGATACCCTAGTGCCACTGTCTTAGAAACCTTGGTGAGCTTCAGCAGCTGCGGCAGCCAAAGCATCAGAGATCAGTAAAGAACTGGGGCAGCAGTGTTGGTATATTAGACCTACCTGTTGACCCCAGAAGATTGGTAGACACATTGCTGAACAGCATTTTTGTGCTAGAAACTTCATTAGGTGGAGATGAGGATTTTGAGGCTATAAAATATTTCTATTGCTGCTTTGTCACAGCCTTCCCAAAAGACTTCTCAGAAAGAGACAGTTCTGGTCTGCATGACTGATAAAATAACATATTTCATGGCCAGAGACACCTCTAAAAAATGGAGTGTAAAGCAGAATGTTCACAAGAGGCATTCATCCACCTTTAGCTTCTCCATAAATAATGGCCAGTTCTGGTTTGGCAAATGTTCAGTAGGTGAATAGATATCGTACATAGTTTTGGGGACTCAATGATTTTTTTTTTTTTTTGGCAATTTCCAGGCTCATAGTGTATTGAAACATGATGCCATTTCTGCTTCATCAGTAGCATCACTGATCCACAAACAGCAGCAAATATTGAAACAACTTTGACACTTTTTGGACTGTTTTTTAAATCTTAGTCTTGCTAGAGTCCTACAGCCCAGTTCTCTATGAGACACTGCACAGCACCAGGACTGGTAGTTTACGATGTGTATGGGTTCTTTCCCTGTTGTTTGGATGACTCTTATATCAGCTACTTTGATTATCCAAGCTCCACAGATGGAAATTAGTCTTAAATGGGTCTACAAACACAACTAGGGAACAGACCTACTGCTGTGCTCACAAATCGTGACCACAGCACTGCATAGGGGCAGAGGCTGCTCTGCAGATGTGCCTCAGTCCCACCCTGTCCACAGCAAGAGCAAGTGCCAAATCTTTTCTAATGCAAAGCATAATGTGATTTCATTAAAGATTCTAATGCCCTTGAGCTGATAGACTATTCCAGTCTGAAATAGAATTGGACTTTTAATAAAATTGGATTTTTAATAATATTTTTTAGTTGCAATCAAATTGCAGAGTCTAATGGGATGGCTTCCCACACACAGACGCACTTATTCCTTTTTTTTTAATCATTTGATGTAACACACTCAAGCTGTACACATCCTGCAGGCCAGCTCCAGAAGTGCTCCACACAGGTTAGTCTAAATTTCGTCACTGACTTTCTTAGGAACATGATCATGCATGCAGTGGTGTGGTTAAATTCTGCTGATCTTTCCCAAGATGCACTCACCTCTAGGTACACCATCCACGGCATCACCAAAGTAGCCACCAGCAGATCTGCCACTGCCAGGCTCACCACAAGGTAGTTTGTTGTGGTTTGCAAGGTGCGTTCCCTCAGCACAGCTAAGCAAACTAGCACATTCCCAAAGATGATGGCCAAAATCAAGAGGCAGTAGCAGAGGGCATAGTAGGCATGTGAATGTGGCAGGTCGGGCTCTGTAGTGTTGTCTGCCCCACAGGGAATGGGGTTAGTGGTGTTAGGATGACTGCTGGCTCTTGTGAAGACGGCCATGGGGATGCTGCTGCAAAGAGAAAAGAGAGAGGTGACCGAAAAGTCAGAGCTCTACAACAACTGTGGAGAACAGTACCCTCTGTGGGTGGTATATGAGTTTCATACTTCCTTTACGAATGTTACTTCAAGCCAATCATAGAGGATTTTTTTCTGCTCATATATAGGCAGAGCTTTACTTAAAGACTTGCTTGGCCTGTTCTGTTTTTCACTGAATCTAAGCCAAGAGAAGAATGCAAGATTTCACCTCCTGGGTGCACCTGAAATGTGCTTCTTACCAACCAACGCAGCTGTATGGGATGTGGCAACTGTTTTAAGAGGTACCAAAGTCACAGCACAAGTCAGCTGGGCAAGAGTGCAGTCTGAAAGGCAACAGTCTAAAATGCTGAGGAAGATCCAATGCAGTTACCCAAACTAGGGCTTTAGCCACAAGCTTGGACCTTGTATCTTTTTTTCTGGGAAGTATCCTCTCCCTTCCCTCATGAAAAAATGTCTTCAGTAACTTCACACACTTGAGTGCTCGGCATCCCGGCAGAGAGGCTGCACCTGCAATGCTCACATAGCCTCTTGATCCCTAGGTGTCCAACAGCACAATCTCCAGAATTTCTCTTTTCCTGCAGCTTGTTTCTGTCCCAGACCCTGCCTGCCTTGCCAAAGCTTGACTGTCATTGCTGCTCCCATTTCATGCATACTGTGCTCTGTGTTTTCCATGCCTTGCCAGAAGATGTGCTTCCCGTGCTGAAAAGCAAACTAACTTGAAGTTTGGGATGAAATAATGGAAGGATGCTTGCAGGGTATTCTGCGTTTCTTTTTCTTACAATAGATTCAAGATTGTGCTCAGGAACCTACCCTTTCTTGATTTAGGAGAATAAATTTTTCCAGAAATATGAAGGCTGCTGTCCCAAGGTTGTTCTGTGACATTTAATTGCTTGTATCTGATCTTTTTTTCTTTGCTACTGCTCCCGTTGGTGAACTCATCATCACTGTGACAGGTATGAAAGGCAAGGGCAAAACACTGCAATATCAGTGGTATAAATATTACTCTGTTTCACCTCACCCCTTGAATAGCAGCATCTGTGATGCATAGCTGCTACACAGCTACACTCCTGGAAGAGTAGCTGTGCAATAAGTATAAATTGCTCCAGTCCCTTGGGATATACTCATCCTTGAAACTGGTGCCACTCTCCCCTGCTGCTTTTTAGCTGGGAGAGGACAAGGGTTGAATGAGATGGAAAATGAACTTCCCTCTGTCCTGTGGTACCCTCAGGATACATCTTATGGCATGTGTTTTGTTTGAAAGTGCTTGTGCTCTCGTCTCTCCTTCTCTTTCTTCTGCCTGCCCCTGACAAAGAAGTTAAGCCTTCCACTGGATCACAAGGATCTCTTGTAGCATGAGCTGAGTCCAGGACTGTTTGTTCATAAAACAGTTGAGCTGCAGTCACCCCAAACAGGACTCATTTTGTTGCATCCCTTGCACCGACACAGCTCCTGCTCCAGGAATTCTGTATTGTCAGGGGCCAGGAAAGGCTGGTTCTGTAGCACTGGAAGAAACCCTACATATTACAACTGACTGATAAGCAAAACCAAAAGAGGGAATAAACAAGACATTATGCATAATATAACCAGAAGGCTTAAGGCACCATATTACACAGTTCGTCCGTGGGTCATCTGTCCTGTCTTCCCCTTACATCCTTGAGCACTATTTCCGACTCTCACCCGGAGGCCAGTCTTCCCTACCAAGCTCCCCAGCCCTGCCCATCCTTGAACTGTCCCCCAACCCTCCAGCCCTGCTCCCTCTGCACCGGGCCAGGGTGCTACCAAACCAGGCAAGTGCCAGCGTACCTGGATACCCGCATACGGGGGTAGCAGGACACCCACCACCCTAGGCAATAGGGTGGCAAGCTGAGACAGGGACAAGAGTCGCAGCCGTGGGGACGCGGAGGGAGAGAGGAAAGGGAGCAAAAGGGATGTTCCTCCCATGGGTCTCTGCCTCGGAGGGGTCCGGGTGTAGGTCCCGGCCCGGATGGCGGGTCCAAGCGCGGGATACAGAGTGCAGGGAAGGGTCTGGTGTTGGAGCGTAGGGTCCAGACGCCTTTGGGTCCGTCTCCAGCTGCGGTGCCGCTCACGCGCCCGCCGCTCCCGCACCCGCGGGGCAGCGGCAGCGACGCCGCTCCCTGTCCTGCCCCCGAGCCCGGAGTGCCGTGAGCCCGGCGGGGGCGAGGGAGGCTGGAGAAAACCGGGGGGGGAAGTGAGGGGCGAGAGGGAGGCGGAGGGGCTGCAGGAAAGGGGACCTCCGGCACCGGGCGAGAGGGGGCGGGAGCAGCAATCAGGACTTACCCCCGGCCCGTCGGCCGTATGGCAACCGCCGCAAGCGGGGCTCCTCCCGTCCCCCCCGTCGTTGACTCCCCCCCCGACCCGTTCCCTCCTGCCGCCTTCCCGGTTGCGGAGCTGCGGGGCGGAGACCGGGCTGGCCACCTCCTCCCCGCCCGCCCCCTGCCCCGGACCCCGCGCTGCCCCAGAGATTGCCCTTCTCCCAGAGGGACCTGGCGAAACGGGTCCGGGCGAATTTTGGAGCCAGGGTGCGCAGCAGCGGTGTGCTTTGCCGAGGGGCTGGAGGCGAAGCGGGAACTGGGAAGCCGAGGCGCCGGTGCTGCGGCGGAGCGGGGGGAGATGCCTCGCCCAGCGGATAGAAAGTTGTCGGTTAAAAAACAGTTAGTTGAAAAAAATGATCAAAGCAGAGCTGTTTTGAGAATGGGGAGATAATATATCTATCTATCTTTAAATAAACTGCCTTAAACCTGAGATGAAAGAGTGCAGGTAATCAGAAAGGAGAGTGATGTTGGGAAGTATCCTTCTCCAGGAACCACTGCCAGTAGGGACAACACGCCACATCTTCCATGGCCAGACCATAGCTGCAACCCCTGTCTCTGAGATGTGTCTTCCCCTGAGGTCGGAGATCAAGTCTCTGAGGCACAGTTCTCCTCTGACTGTGGGCACTGGAAGAGCTCTGTGGGGATACAAGTGATCCCGGTGGGCCTTTTCTCTCCGGGGTTGTGCCCACCACCCTCTCTGGTACAGCAAGTGGGGCATGCAGTGGGTTGTCATGAGGGTGCAGGATGCTCGGCTGCAGGGCTGTGCATGCAGGAGTTGTGGTCCCAGGAGGGAGAAGGAAAAGTGCTGTTCCCCTTTATGTACCCACTGGCTAGGGTGGCTACAGGTTAACTTGTAGGTGGGCAAGCAAAAGAGAAGGTACTGTGGAGAGCAGAGTTTATCTTTAAGAATTTACTTATCTTAAGAAGTGTGCCTTGGGACTCTGGCTGCCTGGATTATCTCTGCTGACTGCAGCTATCCAAGCTAACCTCTCTGTGGGTAAGGGTGGTAGGATGGAGGAGTGCTGTGGAGAACACTCATACCCATTAGGTGTGAGGGGTGTGAGAGTGCCATCTTTAGTCTGCCTGGGCATGATGGAAGTACCCATACAGGATTTGATGGGGACTAATCAGCACCAATGCCTTTAACTTTTAACTGTGACCCTAAAGCAAGTCGGTGGATGGCGCTGGATGAGTGCGATGAGTCACTGCCTAGTCCCTACGGGCAACACATTCACACGTGTCCTCGCTGGAAGATATAGCTGCTAGGCTATTGGACCAAATGACCCATGAAGGGCTCTACAGCCCCTTTGTTCCCTTGGGAGCTCCAAAATGGTGTGACATGGACTACACTTACCGTGCTTATATTATATGCATACAGTTAACTTCTGCTGTCATCCGTACTTTGCTGCTCATCTTTGGGGAAATGCATTTGCTAACTGTGCCTGGAGCAGTCAAGGAAGGGGGGAAGCCCTCCTGCCCATGCCCAGAAGAAGGATTTTTAGCTGTGAGCTTGAAAAGGGTCCAACACACCCACACTTGTGTGGTTAAAACCTCAGGGGAAAGCACACACTGTAATGCTTGTTCTTACTGGTGAGGGCTGTGTGAGTCACGGGCTGGGTGTGAATGGCCAGTAAGCACAGCTCCTCGCAGTGGGGCTAGCAAAGAGATGGAGGCATTTTAACTTCACTTTAGCAGTTTTTAAATGCAGTTTGTTTGTGGGCAGTTTCCCAAAGGATTGTGGCCAGCAAGGTATTCACATCGGCTCTAGGATGATGGGACCACAAGGCACTACAACAACAGCCTTTACTGTTGTTATCTGTTCAATGTAGCAGCTAACCACTGATCAATAAAGAGACATTGCCTTGCCTTCCTCTAAGATAAGTGGGGTGCAGCTGGGGGAATCCACTGCTTTAACCACAAAAGCACTGCTGTTTTGTCACATCTTTGTCTTCCAGTGCTGAAACCTTCCCTTTTGCTTTGCATTTTGTGTCAGTGGATTCCCTCTTGTTAAACTTGTTTCTTGCTTTAATTATTTTTTATCTCATTTCTTAATATTACTCTGACTCCAGAAAAAAAAAAATCATGGACTCATAATCATAAAAAATAACCATAGACTCAAAAATAATTGTAGACTGGTTTAGGTTGGAAAGGACCTTAAAGATCATCTAGTTCCAACCTGGCTTGGAGCACTTTCAGAGATGAGATATCCACAGCTTTTCTGGGCAACCTGTTTCAGTGCTTCACTGCCCTCACTGTAAAGAATTTCTTCCTAATATCTAATCTAAACATACCCTCTTTCAGTTTAAAGCCATTCCCCCTTGTCCTGTCATTATATGCCCTTGTAAAAAGTCTCTCTCTGTCTTCCCTGTAGGCCCCTTTAGGCACAGGAAGGCTTCTCTAAGGTGTTCCTGAAACCTTCTCTTGTCCAAACATAATTTAGTTGGAAATGTTGCTGCTCTATTGAAGCTCATTCTCCTCAGTGCTCCCTCCCCACCTTCTTCCTGGGATGGCTCCCTTCATGACTCCTTATTTTCCTGAGACTGGAATCCCTTTGGGGTAAGGACTTAATGACTTTTTTGTGTTTGCTCTGCAGCAGAGGTCTTGTGGAGCAAGATAATAATTCGTGAGATCATTTAATTTAGAATATATTGTACCACACACAGAGGTAAGGTTGGATTAAAATTGCATAAGCAATCTTGTTGTGATATTTGCCATGATTTTTTTTAATAGTACAGCTTCTTTAATACAGTGTGCAATATCTCTCTCATAAACTCTTTGCCTTCCTCCTACCCCAAAATCAAACATGTGGTATATATTTGCCCCAGTTAAACACTGGACAAGTTGCAGGCCTTGGGTGTGACAACATGGTATCACTGGAGCATGGCAGAGAAACAGGTCAGTAGTGAGAACCTCAAAATGAGAGAATGAGCCAGCAGGTTTCACTGCTGAGACTCCTGGTTCTCCAGCTCCAGCACAGGCTTTCTACCCCATGTGCAGAAAGTTGAGAGAGGCCATAGTTCTTAAACCTGGTCCATTCCCTCTGGGTCCCCTCCAGCCTATTTCTTTGCCCTCATCTCCAATGCCAGCTTCTTTACTTCTTTTCAGTCCTGTATGTCCACAAACTCTTTGGTAAAGATTTCAAATAACTTGGATAAATGTCAGTATTCTCTCAATTTTCCCCACCTCCTTGCCATCAGTCCCATTATTCCTCTGTACTAAGTTTGTGCAGTGAGTGCTGGTGCACTCCTGTTCCCTTATGTCCCTCTCTAGTCTGTGCTTGTGTTTCTTCCTTTGGTTTCTATCCACAGTCTCAGCATCCTGTCCAGTTCCTAAACCTCTGGTAGCTTCATCCAGCATATTTGTCCTTTACTACTTCTGCTTCCCAAGCTCCTCATTCTTCATCTTGCCCTCTCTGGCTGGGTTGCTAGTCCCCTCCACTCCTGCAGCTTAAAGGATTGTTTCCAAATGGTATTTGCTTTCACACCTCAGTTGCTGTCACTACAGCCAGTATTTGATGTGCAGTGTCTAAACTGTGCCACTCAGGTGGAATTAATCTTCCATCATTCATTTTGCAAGTAAGGATGCCCTCCTGACAGTGAGTATTGTTAAAGTACTCTGCAGCCAGGGGGATTTGCAATGCCTGCCTGCATAAAGCCCTAATCTGACCTCATGGCTGTCCCTGTTTGGAGTGGGATGCTGGGCTAGACACCTCCAGAG